GGTTGAGGAAGCCTGCGAAAAAGTCAAAATGATACGTCAGAGGATTCAAACGGCCCAAAACCGACAAAAGAACTATGCCGACCATCGAAGAAAAGATTTGGAATTTGAAATAGGAGATAAGATATTTCTTAAGGTTATCCCATTGAAAGGAAATATCAAGGTGGGAAAAAGAAGAAAACTACATCTAAGATACATGTGACCTTTCAACATACTCTAATGGGTAGGAAAGGTGGCATATCGATTAGAGTTACCAACAAATTTATCCCGAATCCAATATATTTTCCACGTCTCTTTGCTTAAGAAATATCATCCAAACCTAACTCATATTTTACCGCTAGAGGATATTGAGGTTGACGAGTCTCTAACCTATGAGGAACGACCTATTCGAGTACTCAATCGAAAGGTGAAGGACTTGAGGAATAAGTAAATTTCACTGGTTAAGATTCTGTAGAAACACCATGAGGTAGAAGAAATAACCTGGGAGCTAGAGGTGGACATACAAGAGAAATACCATGAGCTATTCATGAATAAAGGTATGAATTTTGAGGTCGAAATACTCTTAAGGGGTAGAGAGTGTGAGGACTTGAAAATTCGCTTATATTTTCCTATAATTCTCTTTTATTTTGAATAAGTTAATTTATAATTCCTTTGATGCTAATTTACTTCCCTTAATAGTTGTAATAAATAATAGAGTCGAAAGATTTATTCTTCCTTTATAGTTAGTGTATGTTAGGTTTTATGGTGCATTGTGGTAGTGTGATCAATTGGTGAGGTGTGTGTACTAAATTTGGTGGATAAGAGCAGGTATTAAGTAAGAGGAAGTATGTGATTAAAAGTGATAAAAGTACATTAGTGAATCATAAGTTAAAACAAAAGTACACGAGAGGCAAAGTAATAGGTTTGAACCGACTTGCGTCGTTTATTACCGGTCGAAGACATCACTTGACCAAGACTTTCTAACCCTAATCTTCTTATTTTTCTTTCATTTTCCTTTCCCTAATTTTATCCTAGGGTGACCGAAATTCTTGACCAAGGAAGAAAGGGAAAAGAAAAAAAAAAGAATGAAAAATGGATGATTGCCAAGTGTTGGCAATCAAAGCAAACAAAGCAAACTTTGACCACACTACTAGAAAAATAGCTTTTAGTGACACTTGTTGTGACGACCCCACCTCCCCCTAAGGCGAACCAAAGGGTTCGGCGGACCGCCTGCCCAGCTCTCGCCGGGGCTCAGTCGTTCACTCAAACAAATCAGAAATAAAACCTCAAGAAATAGCAAAACAAGGATCCAATTCATTACAAACCTCAATCAACCCAACATTCAACCATAGAAATAAATAGCCTGAGAATCCAAAACTTAAAGCGGAATTTATATACATTTCTATCTCAAAGGAATTTCAGAATCAAATGTACAAAAGTTCTCGATTCGTCATACATCCAACCCTTGCCAAATGCTAGGGCGAGAACCATTACAAAAAGATCAAAAGAACTAGACTAGGCTAGTCTATACAGAGCTCACGTCCTTGCTCGCATCCCCTGTTAAGGAAAACAAAACTAACGGAATGAGCTAGAAGCTCAGTGAAGTTCTATATATAGAAACAAGTAATTAAACAAGGACATTAATCATGTAATAACAAATAATCCATAAACATGTCCAATATAAAGCAATGATAATACATTCATTAAAAGGATATAGGCTCACAAGGAGCAATTCGTTCGTTCGTTCCCTATTCATTCCCTTATTCCTCCAATTATAAAAAAATGCATCTTTGTAAATAAAAGAAGTCATTTTTTTTTACCGTTCATTTGTTTATTCTCATTCACCTCCTCCTGGACGTTGGCCAGGCTTTCCCCCCCATCCGAACGTTGACCGGACTCCACCCATCCGGACGTTAGCCGGACTACAAGGTAATACTTGAATATACCAAATGTTCACCCAGGTCACCATATCGCCCGACCGAATCCGCTTCTGGCTCGAGTCGATCGGTAACAAGGGCAAGGGCCCAGTTCAGACAAAAAGGCTTACATTCATGCGCAACTAGTATTTCAACATTCAATCACCGAAAATTTCATATTTATTTAGGTCGAGTGTGATAAAGTACACACTCACCTAGCAAAAGTTCATTTTAGAAATCATAGAAAACAATTAACATTTAATCAAATATTCACAAATAATCATATAGCCACAACAATCCACATAGTCATAGAAACAAAACGTATATAGAACACTCACCTAATTAAGCAAAATAATGTCCAACGTATCCTCCCGGATAACACTCTCAATCGCCAAGAAACCCTAATAATAGCCAAGAGAAAATATTACAGTTAAACCCCTCCAAAGGTTAAGTGAACCAAAGAAAATCCGAATAACTACTAGTACAAAGTATAAGTCTAGTTTTCTATCCCTCGAGCGTAAATTTGGGCAACATGCCCTTTGTATTTTCCTATTTCCAGCCATTTATGGCTTCATTCTTTCCCTCAATCAAACCCAAGTTTACACACAACACAAATTCATTTCAATAGCCGTTCCATAGGCTCAAGACAATACAAGGACAAAAATCAAGCTAATAACAAGTGCGGAAATGAAATTTAACAAAAGACAGATTTGACGTGTTTTGCGTAAAGGACACATCCGAAGCTAAGCTTATCGGATTGGGATGAAATTTATACCATTTCAAAGCTAAGACGAATTTCTACAACTTTCATGAAGATCACTTACTCAAATTTCCAGTGTAACCCCGTCAAATTCCCAATTTACAGAACCGAAAACCAACTAATCGGCTAATTAACCGTACCAGCTTTAAATGGCCATATCTCAGGCTACCAAAGTCCGTTTAAGGTGTTCTTGGTGGCGTTGAAAATTCAAGACAAAGTAATAAAACTTGTATGTTTTGGAAAATAGCTAAATCAGTACGGATCATAGTGAATAAACACGGTTAACTGGATGAATCTGTCTAAAACGGATCACTGGATGCATCCTAGGGCAGCGAGGGTATTTTGGTCTTTTCACAGGCTACATTGCTCCGATTGGGATGAAATTTTGTAGGCACCTATAAAATACCATTATATACAACTTTCATGTTTTATGCCAAGCCTAATTCGGCCTCTAATCACACGAACTGGAACCGGACAGAACAGGGTGAAATTTTTCCAGAAATCTGGAATTTTTGGGATTCAATGAAACTTTCTTCACTTCTTGCTCCAATCATCACTACAACCACTTATATAAGCTTAGATACCACATATATCATCCATATAGCAAGTATAGGCAGCAAATACCTCAACAAATGAAGCTTGCAAGAGTAATACTTCACCTCCTCTTGGAATTCTTGGTTCCCCTAGCTTCTCAAGCTCACAACTCACACTTTAATCGGTTTAGAATTTTAATTCCTCACTTGGATGGCTCAACTCAAGAAGAAGGAAGTTGGTTTCTTGCTCTCTTTCTCTCCTCTCTTGTCTCAGTCAAGCAGCAGAAAAATGAAGAAGAAAGGCTACTCCAAGGTGTTAAGAAGGCAAGAAAAAAAATCAACCAAAGAGGCATAGGGTGGTGACACTTGTCACCACCAAAGCCAACCAAAATTTCTCTTTTTTTCCATGCATTTTTGGCCCTAAATTTTGGTAAAAGCTAGCTGGAAATAAGGAGATATTTTGCTCAAGTATTAATGAGCTTATATGGTAAGAAAGTGGTGGTCAAGTGGTGCGTTCAATCGGTAGTGCGCGGTACCCGTCGGTTCGCGCCGTTTTTCCTTAAATCACACGTACTAGGGTTTTTTCTTCCTATTCACTAACTTTATATCATTGCTTCTAATCACATATTATTTCTCACCTAAAAGTCACTCTTAAGCACCAAATTTGATCCTCGTTTCGTACCGGATAATCATACTACGGGAAAACGTGAAACCCTAATTCGCTCTTAACTTGGAAACGAAAAGTGAAACCCTACTTCTTGGGTTCATTTGCACCTATTGTGGGGTGATTGAGTAGTAGGGCCAAAGTAAAAGAATAATTTCCAAATAAAAGGCATTTTTAAGAAAAACGTGAGGAATTTTACAATTCCAGTGATTAAAATCTTAGGGTTTCTAGTCTTTTAAAACAAAATAATGTTTTTTTTAAATAAAAATAAACTAAAGAAACCGTAATTTCCTCTTTGAGACTAAACAAAAGATGATCCTGAAAGTTGGGGTATCACACTTGTATTATGACATTTTTTCCTAAACGTCATAATAGGGTATTAACATGACAGTCAGTCAGGAGTGTCATTAAAAAGGTGCCAAAAATAGACAAAACTACACCGTATCACCCTTAATTTTGAAAATTGGCTCTATGTTTTAGCGCGTGATTATTTTCACCAAAAATTCTAATATTTCCTCCCTTTTCTTACTTACCACATCTCATCACATCTCTCCTCACCCGCTGCATTTTATCTCTTTTTGTACTGTGACTTTTCCCTCCCTCTCTTGTTTCTCTCAATTTAGGGCAAATTTTGCCAATTTTCTTGCCAATCTGCTAATTTTTCAAGGAGGAAGCAACTAGGATTCATCCCAATGGAGGTATGATGATTAAGATGTTTGTTTAGTTTACTGAATATCAATGATTCAATTTTTTGTTAACATCAAGGTTGTTTTCTTTTTGATTTCTTGTATTTAAGAGATAATTTTAACTTTAGGTCTAAATGGATGCTGTTGAAAGATAATTGTCTTTTGGATGCCGTCGAAAGATTCCAAGTAAATGTTATAGCCTTCTTTAGCATCAGTTTGGTAGCATCTATGACCCACCACATGTTTGATAAATTGACTAAATGAGTTTTCCATTGCTTGCCAAATGGATTTGCTCTCTTGTTTACTCAATTCTTCCAAGCAGCATACCCTTTAGTTTTTTGCCAAGGCTCTGCCTTCTTTTCTTGAAAATTATTTTATAAACTTATCTTGAGTTGAATAGAGAACTGAAATACTGCAACATGGTTGAATGTGTCTTTATGTTTTCTCTTCGGATCTTTAGTTTGAACATGCATTTTCTGTTTGAGATATTTAGCTGTTTTTGTCTATATAGAGCTGGTCACATCAAACACAAGCTCAGGCGATGTTGTAGCTCGTCGGCCAAGAGGCCGGCCACCTAGCTCCAAAAACAAGCCTAAACTCCCGGTGATAATTACTCAAGAGAGCGCCAACACGCTCCGAGCACATATATTAGAGGTCAGTAGTGGCTATGATGTGTTTGAATTAGTTGCAACATATGTTAGAAAAAGGCAAAGAGGTATTTGCATATTGAGTAGTAGTGGCACGGTCAACAATGTGAGCTTGAGGCAACCGGCTGCTGCTGGCTCAATCATGACGTTACATGGCTGGTTCGAGATTTTATCATTGTCGGGCTCCTTCCTTCCACCATCAGCTCCACCAGGTGCCACCAATTTGACCATATATTCGGCTGGTGGATACGGTCAAGTTGTTGGAGGAAATGTTGTGGGAGCTTTGATTGCTTTTGGACCTGTGATTGTTATTGCTGCTTCTTTCACTAACATAGCATATGAAAGACTGTCTTTGGATGAAGATGATCACTCACTTCAGGCAGTGGCAGTAGTGGTGCTGTTGCTAGTGGCTCAAATAATAAATTTTCTGATCCATCTTTAAGGCTTCCCTTATTCTAAATTAGTATGTAATTTGTAGACACTTTTGGTGTGGATTGTTTGGATGATGTACTTTTTCTCAAGTTTGGATGATTGTATTGCTTCTTTTATATTATTGTACTAGCTACGTTACAATCCTTCAAAATTTAGGATTGGAGATGCTTGTGTGGCAGGATGAAATGTGGTTTCTGCCGTCATATGATATGCAGCAGGAAGTTGGAACACTTTAATTTGGATGCTACACCAACAAGTAGAAAATGTCATAAAAGCTTGATCTAGTTACTCTTCAAAAGTGTCATAATATTTCTATCTACTTATACTAAAAAAGTGTCATGATATGTTATTGTACCCCAACATTTCTTGTCATTTGAAAGTGTCATAATATGTATAGATAATGATATTTAATAGTGTCATAATAATGATAAATTGAGACAGTTAAAACTGTCATAAACCTATCGTGACACTAGAATGGATGATGCTTCTAATAGAGCGTCATTAGAGCCTAAACGTCATGACATAGATCTATAATGACGCTTTCAAAAGTGTCATAATATTTCTATCTACTTATACTAAAAAAGTGTCATGATATGTTATTGTACCCCAACATTTCTTGTCATTTGAAAGTGTCATAATATGTATAGATAATGATATTTAATAGTGTCATAATAATGATAAATTGAGACACTTAAAACTGTCATAAACCTATCGTGACGCTAGAATGGATGATGCTTCTAATAGAGCGTCATTAGAGCCTAAACGTCATGACATAGATCTATAATGACGCTTTTGAATGTCATAAAAGGACACTTTTGTAGTAGTGCCAAGAGAGAAGAAAGCTTCATTTTCCACCTTGATTTTGCCTTCATTGAGTGAAGAATCAACGAGAATCATTAGTTTAATCCGAACAAAGTTGCAACAAGGAGCTAAGGAAGCTTGTAGTGAAGTTAATTGGAGAGGAAAGTCTTGGTTTTTCACTTTCTCTTGAAAGTTTGAAGGTATTAAGTTGGAAAATTTTCTTTCTCTTTCTTATCTTGCAATTTATTGGGAAGATGACTTGAAATTGGAAATTTTATGGAAGATAACCTAGATTTGTGAAGATTGGTGAAATTTCCAGCCTAGGGTTTTATTTTTCAGCCTTGTTTTATATTTTTCATCCATGATATGATGGTGTCTAGCTTTGTTTTGGACTTGTATGAAGATTTGTAGCTTTGTTATGGCTTTTTAGCTTCTACATAGGAATTTCCAACTTTAATTCTAACATTCCAGCTTTAGTAGAGAATTTTCCAGCTTTGATATATGATGTTTATATGCTAGAGATAAGTTCAAATTGGTTGGTTTTGTAACCTAGCAGAAGAACTCTTTTTATCTTATAACTTGTGGAGTTGATTTGGGTTGTTTTGCCATGAAGTTTAGCTTGGGAAATTTGAGGAAAAATCAAGGAAAAATAGGGGAGGTGTTGCCCAATTTTTTTTCTAGGAGGGTGAGTGAGTGAAAGTGGAAATACAGATGTGATTTGAGATCAATTTGGACCTAGCTTACTTAAGGATATTAAGGTCAACCTTGATGGTGATTCATAAGCTGAAATTTTGCCAAAAGTATACATATTTCATAGACAAAGTAACGGTCATTTTAAACAAGATTTTCTAGTCACATATCACAAGTTATAAACTTAAAGGCTTCAATTGTTTATTTACCAAAATCAAAAGAGAGGGCATGTATTTTCTTAGGGTTTATCAGGTATTATAATGACTATTTAAATGAGTTTTATTTACTTGGTTTATACTTGATATTAAGAAGCGAAAGTCATATATTTGAAACCCTATTTGATTACAAGTTGCTACTCGATATTTTATGGCAGATTTTGACTCTAGCCAGGGGGTTGGACCTGGGCTTGATTTGGATAAGCAATAAATTATTGATGACTGTTTCCAACTACATGACGGACTTGAGTGCAATATTTTCTTGATGTGATTAGATATTTCTTGACTTTTTTGGTCGGGTAAGGGTGTACTTTATCGCACTTGCCCTAATGTGATTTATTACTGTGCACTGGTCACAAATGGTTCAATGTACATATGTATGACTTGAATACTGCTTGGAATCCTAACCCTATTGATTAGTTGGTCAAATCGAGCCAGTAAGGGTTTGGTCGAGGAAACTGGCAAACCATAGGTATGGGTTATTGTTTATTGTATAATCCACTGGATATGGTCCACTGAATTCGATATACTTGAGTATTAACACTACAGTTAATGTTGGAGTTTAGGCTCGGTAGGAGGTTTGATTGGTGGATGGTGATTGGAGTTAAGTGGTACTCTACTGGACTTGTTGTATTACTTTGAAAGTTGACAGAGGGTCAACTTCTTCTTGGCAAGCTGCGGCCGAGTTAGCTCGCAAGAGCGACCTATATCCTTATATTTGGAAATGTTAAATCCCTGATTAACTAGTTGCTTGTAGTGTTATTGCTTACTTTCACGAACTTTTGTGCTTACTCACTTTGAGATTTCAAGTTTTCTATACTAGCCACGTTTTGCATGAAATATTGGAACCGCACTAAGCATTAGCTGATGCGAGACGCGGAAGCTACTTCGGATCTAGAGGAACACGATGAAGATTTGATGGAGTTGAATCCGAACTTGGACCACTCAAGAACAGATTTAACGGTAGAGGACGCCACAATCAAGTATGTGTGCTTGATTGATAAGTCAAGAACAGCCTAGGATCGACTCTAGGATGTTCAACTTAGCTTTCACAAGCTAAGGGAATTTGCCACAAGGAATGGACGAAATTCTGGAAATTTTATTCAATACTCTCTAAAAACTCCCTGTAACATGCGACTTCAGGCTACTTATAGCCGTGACTAAGACCTAAGACCTAAGCGAGACCCCCGTACGGCTCAGCGAGGGTACTTACTGCGGCTCAGCCCGCCGTTTGGAGCTTGAACACTTGCATCTTCAATTGTAAGCAGCATTTTAGTAGTCGTGCAAGGATGTTCCAACTCAATTCCTTCAATGCCCGGTTTCTCTTGGGTTTGGATGGCACGTACCAAGGCTTGGTGGGACTCCTTGAATCTCTTAGCTCGTCCTCGTGTCATTGGGCCTTGGGGCACCTTCACAGGGTCTACTTGTACACTTTGGGCCTCGTGCTCAACCGCATCAAATCGTACTCGTGACACCCCATTAGTTTTGTTTTCCTTACAGGTGTGCAAACATAGACGTAAGGCAGGAACCGGCTGGTTTTGTCTAGACTTTTGACTTTTGTAATTATTCTAACTCTAGTGCTCAATTAAGGTTAGAAGTGTAAGTAGAACTTGAATTGTTTGTTATATCTGGGTATGTATGAACATTTGAGATAAAAATGTGTATGGATGTACATTCTAAGTTTAGGAATTGCTGTTTCATGTACTTTTGAAGTTGAAATTTATTTTCTTGAAGTTGTGTGAGTGAGTCCTGGCGGGAGTTGGGCAGACGATCCGCTAAACCCTAGGGTTCGCCCTAGGGTAAGATGGGGTCGTCACAAAACATATCCTATATGAGCAACTCCAAACTTGGCTCTCGCCTCTTCAATACTCTCTATGGAATTGATTATAGATTTTTCGATGACTAGTTAACTTATCATCAAGCTATCCAAAATTAGACTAGTTTATGCATAACATCTTATAAGTCAGCATAAGCTTTTACTGATCTTAGTTTTCAAAACTGACTTCACTTAAACTCATTTGAGTTGACAGCAAACACCTAACAGTTAACCTCATAGATATCGAAGCAATCTTAGTTAATATGGTATTCAACTACTTTATTACATATCCTGACTATTATGATAGAAAATGTAAACTTTAAATGGTTTTTTTTAATTTTTGTAAAGAAAAAGTTTCAACTGTAACCAAAAATTTCAAGAGAAATTATCCAAGAAAGCTCACATGCCAAACGAATAAGATTTATCGAGTTCTAACTCATAACATGATTAAGTTCGTAAAAATATATATCAATGATAATGGGTCTTTCTATATTGTGTCCTTATAGCACATTATAGAAGATGGATTTACTATGTTACCTTTTCATGAAAATATAAAATTTTTCAATGAAAGTGTACAAAATTCATGAAATGAGTGATAATTTCAGAGTTTCATAATGAATTTGTACATCTTCTAGTGTTTTATATAGGCACAAGGTAAAAGAAAATAATACAAATTGTATTAAAGGGTTTGAGACTTTTTTCTGCTCTAACAGATATAAGTAAATCTACATCTCCCAATTACTCCAATGAGTTATCAAACATGTAAAGTGCATAATAATGTTATTTTAACAGATGGACTACTATAATGAATTAGGAATGTTAAAATAACAATTTTTGTATACATGCACCTGTTCTAACATATGCGTAGAAATATATGTGCATATTCCTACATATGTAGCTACATGCACAAGCTCTATATAGGTATATGGCCACCAATTTTTTTGGTTTAATCTAAAGGACAATTTAAGTCAAAGTTCCGTTTGGTATGGGATCCACTATTCAAGGCTTGTTACATTTAGAAATTGGCCATAGGGATTGCACAGAATTAGATGATCAGATTTTTTTCTTGGAGGGTTTTTTTATACAACTAGATAGTAGGGTTCCATTATCCAAATTGGAATAAAGCCGTTGTAATAAGCATTACCCTTGTTCTTTTCATCTTATGTGATACCCTAACTTTTAGGATACTATTGTTGTTTAGTCTCCAAGAGGATATTACGATTTCTTTATTTAAGATATGATTTTGTTTTAAAAATGAGAAACCCTAAATTCTAGAAACCCTAAAGTCTAAACAAAAACCCTAATTTACTTGTAACAAACTAGTTTTCTTAAATCTCTCATTTTGAATCAAAACCCTAATTATAATCACTGGAATTGTAAAACCTCCCATATTTCTTAAAATTTCTTTTGATTTGGCATTTATTCCCTTATGATAGCTATACTACTCATTTACATCCCCAATGTTTAGAATAAAGAATAGAATTAAGAGTTTTCCCTTTTGCATTCATCGTTAAGGTAAACTAAGATTTTTACGCCTATCAGTAGTGTGACCATCCGATACGGAGAGTGGATCAAATTTGGTGATTAAGAGTGAATTTTAAATGAAATTAAATGTGTGAGGAGAAGTGATAATGATAAGTTAGTGAATTATCAGTGAAAATCCTAGTATACGCGATTTAAGG